TATGGGGAGGTTGGTATTTAGGAATTCCTCCTTGTTAGACAAGTAGTTGTGGAGTTCCATTTTGGACTCAAACAAATTAAGGTATGTTATAATCGAAAGCATAATGGGTGGGATGTGAGTTTGAATGTCATAGCATTAGCATCTTTGGCCTCTTGGAAAGCTATCTCCTCCCTTATTTATTTATTTTCAACTAAATGTATATGATGTTCTTTGTGAAATAAAATTAGAAAGATTAGATTCTAAGAAGATATGGTGGGGCATGGGGGTAGATGCCTCCAAGGGACAAATGTCTTTGCCAAAGGTTAGGTCCAACATTGCATGGACTCTCCTAAATGGATGAGGTGTTCATGTTAGACATGTATCAGAGTCCAACACTTACATGTAATATTTCCTTTTTATCTCCTAGCTTATTTGACAGAAATTAATAGTTACTATAGAAGATGAATACTATTTCTTATATAAAATGAATTCAAAACATATAAGCAACTTTAGTGGTATATGATTTTCCACGTATGTTTCTGAGAGTCATATTGTGCCCACGGATGGCAAATTTCCCCATTTCCCCGATCCTCGTGGGGATCCACCCTGAATGGGGAGGGGGTGGGGATGATTTCCCCCCCGTGGGGATGGGGATGGGGAAATTTTCATCCCCATTGGCGGGGACGGGGCAGGGATGAGGAGAGCACTCCCCACCCCACGGGGACCCCAATCCCTTACCCCGTAGGATCCCCACTAATATATATGTATATATGTACGCATACATTTATATATATATATATTAAAATATGCTTGAATATGCTTGAATCTTTTCTAATAGGATTGTAAATTTTAATGATTTTATATTTATTTATTTTAAATAAAATAAAAAACAAAAACAAAATGGTTGACATTATAAAACATCACAGGGAGTGGGATCCCTGCGGGGATGGGGATAACCATGTCCCCGTTAGCGAGGACGGGGGTGTGGAGAGGCTCCCCGTCCCTGCCCCGCCCCATTGTCATTCCTATTCGTCGCCTTATCAAGTGAGGCACTTGGACATGCACTAGGTTACTCCCATGTCCATTTCCATGCCATACTAGTTAGGCTCGTATCCAGTCCATCCCTCCCAAGACTCCAAATAACTGAGATCACTATTGGACAATGCCTTTTACTACAAAAAGAAGAGTTTAGAAGAGATTGATGCTTTGTATTATTTCCTATTTGATCTATAATGATCCTGTTATCAACCAAAAACTACCTAGAGGCAAGACATGAAAGGACAAGCAATACTATTTTACAAGGTACATGCTATTTTTAATACTGTTAGTATTACTAATCTCCTCTCCATTAGCGTCCTCTACATGTTCATTTAATAATTTTTCAAAATAGTTTTTTCATCTTTGTTTGATTTTCTCATCTTTAACCAAGACTCTTTAATCATCCTCTTTAATGCACCTAGCATGGTTTAATTCTCTGCCTTTCCTTTTTTTATTTATCAGTAACTAAGAGCATTAATTCATTAATATAAACAAATGGCGTACCACATTAGTTATTTGTATTATTACTTCTATAATGGAATTTAAATTGATAGAACTCTCTTTAAAAGTGATAATTTTTATTAATTTGTATTATTATTAAATAGAATGTAAATAGATTCTAATTTTTGTGATGATTTATTAATTAATTTTAAATTTTATAATGAACAATTTTAAAATATGATTATTTTTTATTAATGTTTTTATTATATAAATTAAACTTTGTTCATAATTATACATTTTAATTCATATTTATAATTAAATGAAAGTATATTAAATGGATTTTAAATTACAATTTTTTAGTTTGAAATGAAATTTAAATGGATAGTAATTATTTACATTTCAAGTATTAAAAATTTTATTGTTGAGTGGAGTACATGACATATATATAGCATAAAAGTTTAGGTCTTTTAATCAAATATTAAGAGAACTTGAAAGATTTTATGAGATTCAAGAGGACTAGGGAAGGTTGGGTTGGGTTGGGTTAGGGTTGGGGGTTCAAAACCTTGGGTTAAGCTAGGGTTAACTTCAACCCAACCTAACCCGGCCTGAGTTGCACCTGTACTCCTGAGCACAAGAAGGTGTAAGCCTCCTCAAGAGGAGGATGAGGAAGGACTTATTTTTCTTGTTTTCTTTTGATGAAAGATGCCTTGTATATAAGAAGAATGTGGATGTATAAAGTTGTCTAAAAGGATGATCTTGCCTTGCTTTGGTAGGACGCCCTAGCACAAGAAACCAAACTGTGTTGCATTAGAAAGGTGTTGGGGGTGAAGCCCCTGACCATGGGGGTCCAAGGAGTAGAGCCCTGGCCAGACTTCCCTTCCCTTCCCTTTTCTTTCTTTTCTTCTTTCTTGCTTTCTTTCTATATGAGTCATGCATGAGACACGAGGCACAAACCTCCAGTATGCCTCATGCAATTAAACTTGTTCATGGGTCGGGCTGGGCCGGGCTTTCACTCTATATTAACAGATTCTTCTAAGGCCCGAGCCCGAGCCCGGCCCTCATAAAAAGCCCGAAGCCAGGGCCTAGGCCCAAGCCCGAAATTTAACCCATGTTGTTACTACTGCTGAAGCGACTGAAGAGAGAGAGAGAAAGAGAGAGATTATAAAGAAAAAAATAAAAAATGTATATATCAAATTATAAATATATATTTCAATAAATATTATATTATTTATATAATATATAAAATACATATTATGTATTTTATAAAATATATAATGCTGAGTCGGGCCGGGCTTTTTTGAAAAATCCTGAGCCCGGCCCAAAACACAATAGGGCTTACTGTGTTAGGCCCACGGGCCTAATTACATGACCAAGCCCGACCGGGGTGCGGGCTGGACCAGGCCGGGCCATCGGGCTACCCATCCCATGAACAGGTCTACATGCAATAAGGGTTTAAGGTGTATGCCTCAAGGCGTTTTAATGGTGTCTCACTTGGAGGCAAATGTCTCCCATGCCCTCTAAAACATTAGTTATGATTGCCTAGTTGTGATGACAGCTTTAGTTTTCTTTGTTGAGTCCAGTGGTTGAGGATTGCAACAAGAAACAGCTTAAACAGCTGCTATTAAACAACAATTTACAAACATGATTATATCACCCTACTTGGATCAGATACAGGCAGCACACTACTGTTCAGAAAATTAATTCGCATCAACCAAGAAACTAGACTTTTGATCTTTGACACACTCCAAAGAGTAGCCTGTAAACCAACATGCAGAAATTGCCCAGAGTTGTTAAAACTCACCTATGAGCATGATAGGATGAGATACTCTGGGTTCTTTTGTCATCTCTCACATCACAGAACCACTCCTTCATCGCATACACCCTATGGCTATCTAAAACACTTCAGATCTGCACACTGGAAGCTTTTACACCATCATCGAAGTGAACATGACATACCAAAAAAACAAGTCTTTCTCTCACGGTCATGAAAAAATAAATAACATCAAGCCTTGTCTTTGATCTGTAGAAATTGATAAATCTCTCCACTGGTTGTTCAAATTAGCAAGTAATGCAGAAAAAAAGAATAGAAGAGTGAACAGTTTTAATGATATCTATGGCAGATAATGCTCTGCTACTATATTACCTATCATAAATTAGGGAGAGAGACAGAGAGAGAGAGAGCAACAAACTGTTGACAATATCAAGGTTTTTAGAAACGAACCGGAAACAGAACCGGTCAGGGGACTGGTTTCCGGTTAAGTGGTTCAACCGTCCGGGTCGAATGGTTCGACCCGTGATGTCATAATAAATTAAAAATAAAAAATATATTTATAAATAATAAAAAATTAAATAAAATTAAATAAAAACAGAAAAAATTACAGAAAATAAAACTAGATCATCCTATATCCATAAAATGAGAATCTGAGACTGAATTCAATTAGATTTACTCTGGAAATCCTCACCACCATCTCTAACTCCAAAGATTGCATGAAAAAGAACTAGAGGTAATCCGATGCCAAGTGACAAAAGAAGGTGAATCACAGCATGTGTGCGGATGAGCTCAACAATGGTCACGATGACCAAGATTCCAATGCCAAGGACTAAGCTCTCAATTAAATCGGCGATGGAAACCAACGGGGCAATGACAGGAAGCAACAGAAAATTAGTCAAGCTTGTAATCTGTATCGCCGGAGGGAACCAGAATCTATCCAGTTTCGAAATTGCCACCACCGTCAATAAGGTCCCAAACACCAAAAGTCTTTGCAAGAGGCTCAGAAAGATCATGGCCCAGACAGTGAGAGCATAAGAAAACCAGAAACTCTGCAAGTTTCTGATGGTTCGCACTGCAGCAGCTTCTGGGCTAATTAGGGCTGCAAATTTTCTGCGTTTTTGAGCTATGAATTCCTTGACATGCTCAAGCTTGGCTATCACTGCCCCCGCCATGGACCTGCTGCAAAATCAACGCTGGCAGGTGGTCTGTTGGGTGTGAGGGCTGAGAGGAGGGAAGGTTAGAACAAAAATGGGGTCGTTCTAACCCTAAGCATTCGTAAGATTTGGGATCAGGGATATGGGAGTCATTTTATTTTTTGTTTTTTATTTTATAGTTCAGCAAAAATAAAAAATGATAACCCGCAAACCGCTGCCCAGGTCAAACGGTTTAGCAGTTCAACTGTCTGGGTCAGCGGTTTTCTGACTTTTTCAATGGTTTTTAAGGAATCCCCGGTTTACAGTATAACCAGATCCGGGGGCTCAGTTACCAGTTTTCCAGTCCAATCATCCGGTCCGGTCCGGTTTTGAAAACCATGGATAATATGATGCTGCAGCAGCACCTCACACAATGGATTTTATCTGAGAATATTAAAAGGTAGAGCAATTACCAAACTACCCCTATATCCTATATACTTCAGATTTACAACAATATCCAATTTTCAGTTGACACATCTCAAGATGAAAATCAAAATAAAATGAAAGAAAAGCAATATGATAAAATAGTAATAGATATTGACACAAGGAAGAAACAGGAGTATTATCATGTTTTTTACCTGAATAATAGCTGGAAGAGGGACACTCAAGTTTCTAAAATCTTCAGCTCTGAAGACAATTGCCTGTAACAAAGGGATAAATATGATTTCCACAAAAGAAAATCAAAGATATGTATACTGTACTACTTTGATACAGTAAGTGGATTCCATACAAACAGGTATAGAGAGAGAGAGAGAGAGAGAGATTCAGCCACTAGAAACACATTATGCATCATTGATACACATTTTTCAATTTGGCAGACACGTATCAACTGATTACAGATCATAGTGCAAATAACTGAAAATTTCAGAAAAGTGGGAGCAAATATCTATATCTATCTATCTAGGCATATATAACAAGAGGGAAAAGGTGTCTTCAGATACTCATTTAGATTTCTTGCGTAGATGAGCTCTTGGACATCACCCACTTGGATCCATTGGCCAATGTAGACTGTTGACCAGAGGAGGCAATCTTGATTGCCCATGTTCAATGCCTAATCTACATTTGCTCTATGAACCACCATGTTGGACTTTGGTGACATCTACTCAGCACAGGAGTTTCCTCAAGGGAGACTCTTCCTCCTGAAACAGAAATGGGGTGGGGAAGGGAGAGAATCTATATCTATATCTATATCTATATCTATATATTAAAGCGCAATGTGCTGAGCTGGCACATTCTTACACTGAGGTTGCTTTGGAAGCGCACATTTCTGCTCTGTGGTTGCTTCAGGAGCTCACCTTGGTGCGTTCTCATTTTTTGAGATTTTTCATTTTTTTGTTTGGGTTTCCATCCACGTTCCTCTTATAGGGAGACGTGCAAAAGTAATGAGAAACACTTTCTGTCACATCCAATTAAAATCAAGCAGCCACCCTCCCACTTCTTTCTCGTTTCTTATTCCCTCTCCCTACACAGCACCGAGCCAGCCGCTTCTGGGTAAGCAGCAGAAGGAACAAAAATGGTAATCTCAATTCTCATGGTATCAGCTGAAAGTAGCAACCAGCTGCTGAACCCATACTGACCAGATATGGCTATGCCTGTACTCATGCCTTATAAGAACCAGATCACCGTCTCAGCGATAATGTATCCATCAGGAAATTGCTTTTCAAGCTTGGAGAAGGAAGGTTTTCAGATGATCATCAACAACCAAGCGACTAGAGCATGAACTTTCAATACCCACTTGCTATTTCCCTCAACCCAACAATAGCTTTATGAGAATTCCATCAATTTGCTACCTTGTCAAACTCCCATGAATTGCTTAAGTAATGGGATTGTACATGGATGGTGTAAATTTAATGTGTACCTGTACTAAGGAAGTCATTCTTTGTTTCTCAAAGAACCCTAATAAACTCATTCAGAGGTTCGTTTGTTGGAGCTTCTATTTTCATTCAATGGTAGTTATCATATTATTATTTTAATTCCTTTGTGAACTGTTTTTTGCTGGTAACAGCAGTGGAACCAGAGGTGTGGTGAGAAAAAGAAAGGGGAGAAAGAGAGGATTTGATGGTTTGGGTGGGCAAGATATTAAAACAAACGAATTTTATTTTTTTTAGAGTCCAGATTGACGTTAAAGTCTGGGCTCCGTTAAGGTGTTAATTTTTGGTTTCAAGTGAATGAAAGACATGTTCAAATGGGACAGAAAATTTTCTATCCCCCGGGGACAAACAATGTGAGCTCCCGTTTTTAACTTTTTTAATTTTTCAAAAAATAAAATCCGGGTTCTTTTTGCGTTTCTTCCATAAAAGATAAATGACTCACACGGAACACAGAGCAGATTTTTGGGTTCTAGGTTCATGCTTTGACCTATTAGATGGTTCTTTAAATAGATTGTTCTGGGATAACACTTCATTTTATTCTCCTCGATTTTCTTTTGAGATATTCATTTTATTCTTTGAAAGTAAGCTTTCTTGAGGATGCAAAAACGTCACTCCTGTAATTATTATTATATTATTTAATAATATGATATTAAACAATAATATCATATAATAATAATAGTAATAGTAATAATAATTATAATTATAATAACGATATATAATCTTAAAAAAGCAAAAATAATATAATATAGTGATAACAACAATAACAACAACAACAACAATATAATAATAATAATAATACAATATTTTTGTTGTAACCTCAACAACACTGATGAGGTAGTTAGAATGATTCAACATTATTTTAATCATTTAGAGCTTAATTGAATTTATCTTTTATGTGAATATTAGTGAACTACATTAACTTTCTTTCCATAAATTATGTTATTTATGATTATTTTCTTAAACCATGCAATTGATTTTGCTTTTGGCCATTCTTATTATAATTTATTTTAGTGTTTTGTCAAATTGATTGAACCTTTTCTTTTAGATTTTTTAAGTTGTTTGTAAGTTTTTATTATTTCACTCTTGATTAACAAAACTATGACTAAATGCTCTTTCCATTCTAGATCCCGCCTTATATATCAAGGCTCAATTACAAGTATCAGTATAACTAACTGAGGTCTCTTTTGTAACAACTTATGACAAGGGAGCCACTGACATGGCACACAAAAGATTCTTCTTTTGTCGAACATGCGGGTGATGGGAATTGGTGTTGGGCCTTCTCCTGCCTAAGCTGGGCTGCTCCTAACAGTTCCTCCCTATTGAATTTGACCAGCCCATTCAATTAATGCTTCTGTATGACCCCATTTCCCTTTCACGCCCAGCAAAAGTCCACAATTTGAGTGTGCTCTGTCTAGGCCCCTTCTTCAGTAAACCTCGGGAGTGATTGGGTGACAATGATGTTGGGCCCAACTGCTTTCTTGAGGAGAGATACTGGGTGCAACTTGGACGCAGCTGGTATCTCCAGCCTATAGGCAACCTTGCCTACCTTCTAGAATACCTTTAAGGGGCCAAAGTATTGAGGTGCTAGTTTATTCTAGGCCCTACGAGAAACAGAAACCTGCTGATATGGCTGCAACCTGAGGTAAGCAAAGTCACCAACATGAAACTCAATGTGCCAATGATGCGAGTCATAGTGGGCCTTCACCTTTTGTTGGGTCTTTTCCAAGTTCCTGAGGGTATGTAGGACTTCACAGACTAGGAGAAGGGCTTCCATTGAGGCCACAACCATAGAACCTCCTTCATAGGGTAGAATAGGGGGGTGGGAGGATTCATGCCATATAGAGCTTTGAATGGGGTTATCCCTATAACAAAATGGAATGTAGTATTGTACTAATACTCTGCCCAGGGTGACCAATGGGCCCACTGGAAAGGCTTCTCACTTGCAAAACACCTCAGGTATGTTTCCAGGCAGCAGTTTAGAACCTCAGTCTGTCCATCTGACCAGGGATGGTAGCTGAATAGCTGGTGGATCTATTCAACTGAGTCCCTTGTAATCTGAAGTTCAAGTACTCCCTCTAGAACTGAGTGAGGAAAGAGGAATCTTGATCTGAAACAATAGAATGGGGGTGCCATGCAACTTGGCCGGCCTGAGGGAATTTGAGAGATGTACTTCTGTTCTTGGCACAACACATTCGACCACATATTACTGGACATCCCTTTGCATGCTTGGCCAATAGTAGTGACTTGCAAGGCACTTGAGTATGAAACTCCTAAATGGCCCCCTATTGTGGAATCATGGAATAACTTCAATAGATTAGGAAGATGGGCCGACACCTCAGGCTGTTATGGGGGTTCCTCGCTTGGAGGCACACCTCCAGGTGTACACCTCCCACGCCTTTTAAAACACTGCTTTGTAGTATTTGGGTTTTCTTTCAGGGAGGGTTTAGGAGGTTACAAGGGTATACTTCTAATGTTGATAAAGTATTGGGAACTTATATGTATTTATGGAAGGAAAAGGAGATTCAAGGCTGACAGTTAACTGGTTGCAGGAGAAAGATTCTAGTTTGTGGAAGTTCTCAATTGAAAAAAAGAAAATCAACCAGATTACTCGAAACATGTAAATTCAGGTTCAGTGGGCCAAGAGGTGTGCCAATTCTTTGGCAGATTTTTTGGCCAAACAAGGGGTGGGAAGAGCAAATCTTTTTTGGGCTGTGTTGTAATATGATCCTTATTGTTAGGGAGGGTTAAGTGTTTTTACCCCTCCCTTTATACTGTATCTTTCCTTAATATTTTTTAATAAAAGTTACTGTTATTGATCAAAAAAAAAGGAAAAGAATACTTATATGTTAGAGGGGATCTCTCTACTTCAGATATTTCCCTAGACTTCATCACCTCCTTAGGCCAAGTCAAAAAAGAACCCCTTTAATCTAGCAAATACATTTGAGACCAAAACATTTCGATTACTTTTTTTTAACTCTTGAACCTTCTAACTATGAGATTAGCGTTCCTGAACTCCAAGAGATTCTTAGATTCATCATTAATTCTTTCCAATTCCAGAACTATTTCTTCTCAAACAGCTGACCTGCAAGTTGCAACCATATCTTCGCTCTATTGATGTTTGTATTTGGGTTTTCATTCAGGGAGGGCGTTGGAGGTTGCAGGGGTATACTTGTAATGTTGATAAACTTTTAGGGACTTATATGCATTTATGGAAGGAAAAGGGGCTTGTCTGCAATTCTAATATAATTGGATCTTTTGCTTATTTAAGCCATTGGTTGTTTGTGGTTAGAGTTGAGTGAGAGTGAACATTTTGTTGTGAGACTGTAGAGTGTAGAGACTAGAGAGATCATCCATGTATCTCCTACTCTCATAGTAGATAGTTTTCTCTCTCTTCCCATGGATGTAGGCTACCAAGCCGAACCACATTAAATCTTGGTGCTTTCTCTCTTTCTTCTTCCTATTTTCTTCTTGGCTTACCATCTTCTTTTCTGTTCTTTGACATGGTATTATAAAATGTTTATTGCGGGAATCAGTTAGGTAAACTAAGGAGGCCTAGCAATCGAGTTACTGTTCACGGATACCATTCACATTACTATTCAATAAGGAACATTTGTGAGCATTTTTCATTATTATTCTGGAGTTTTTCTAGGCTCCTAAAGGAGTGATATTGCTTCTCATTGGTTTTGTCAAAAGCTAGGAAAAACTTACATGGGATTTTGTTCCAGAGTTCAGGTTGTTTTTATATGATAAAGAAGATTAAATGGTCATTTGTGCAAAGAAATCTGAACTGGTTGATAAATAGGGTGTTTTCTAGTTCTTATTTTAACACCATTAAAGCCTTTTTTTTTTGGATTTCCTCTTTCTAGCTCTTTGGAAGGACACCATCTCCAGAAGGATTTATATTTGTTCTCCTTGTCTTGTGGGTTATGCTCCTTAGCATCTGCACTAGTTCACATCTTTAAGCAAATTCTGGTTTTTATGTTGCATATCATCTGTTTGATTAATTGTCTTAAAAGCTGACTGTTGGTCATTTGGTTAAGTTTGGTATTTTCTTTGGGAGTTGTAATTTTACAAAGATTTGTCATAGAAGTTCTGCAGATTCTCTGATCTATTGATCTATTTATGATTATCTGTACCAGCATGTGAAATTAGATCTCAAGGTGACTATTTGATGTTTGAGAAACCGTCTCAATAGTGCAAAATTTCTACAATGATTCTCTGTTGTCATGATCAGTTCTTGTATGATCCTGTTTGTGATTTAATTTGGTATTTGGAATATTCAGGTGAACTTTGGGTTATTATAATCCGTCAATATTTGTGTTGTTCAAAGAAAATACAAAGGAAGGTGACCACCAATCACATAAGAGAAGAACAAAAACCTATGACTCCAAAAGGCCAAAACTAGTCTCTGAAAAACCAACACAATCAACCACACTACACAACACAACAAACAACATAAAAAAAAAAAAATACAAAAACAAAAACAAACAAACAAAAAGCAAAATAGAAAAAAACCTCTCTAGCAAAAAGACTCAACTCTCTGCAAAATAGAAAAGCACCTTCTTAGTAGGTCCTATATTCCAAACAAACCCCCGTCCAATCTTTGTAAATACTTTTGACACTTGGATTGTTCGATGAGATTCTGGCTATTGAATCTTCTAACCGCATTAGGCTTCTTCTTCATAACCCTGAAAGCCAACTTTTGACACTTGGTCTGGTGCCAATTCTCCATCACAATGTTTTCAGCAGCGATTCTTTATCATGTTCTGTTTCGGATCATTGAGGAATCTGGTTCAGTTTTCATAATTGACTTTCATTGACCATTTGTAATTCTTTCATCTAGTTTATGGAGTTCATAGTTGGCTTTCTGCTAGCCAACTCCAATTTGGTTCAGTTTTCCAGTTTGCTTTCCGCTGGCCAACCCCAATTTGGTAATTCTATTGGCACTTTTGGTTATCTAGTTGGCTCTTCAGTTCAGTGACTGCAATTGGCCTTTCAATGGATAACTTCAATTCCTTGACATGATATTTGTTGGCTTTCTGTTGGCCAGCTTCAGTGTGGTGATTATTAGATCATGACATGGCTGCACTTTGGCTTTCCAATGCAACCTCATTTCATGCTGTTATCTTATTCAACTTTCAAAAAGCCAACTCTACTTTAACACCTCAAGTTTCGCGGCTGCTGCACTAACAATACACCAATTTTCATGGAGGTTGTTTCACCATCCTTATTTGCAAACTCAAGCCGGTTTTCCCATCTTGAGTTTGAGGGTGTAGAGAAATATATTGTATTTGGTTGTATTTCAGTTTTCTTTCAGGGAGGGTGTTGTAGGTTACAAGGGTATACTTGTAATGATGAAAAACTTTTGGGGGCTCATATAATTTATTGAAGGAAGAGGGGCCTGTGTGTAATTCTGATATAATTGGGTCTTTTGCTTATTGAAGCCATTGGTTATGTATGATTAGGGTTGAGTGAGAGTGGACATTTTTTTTGTGAGACTGTAGAGTGGTCAGCCATTTTCCCTCTCTTCCCGTGGATGTAGGCCACCGAGCCAAACCACATTAAATCTTAGTACTTTCTTTCTTCTTCCTATTTTCTTCTTTGTTTACTATTTTCTTGTCTGCTCATCGAAAACCATGAGCTCCCCCACTTCCTTTTCTTCCCTCAGCCTACCTATAGCACAAGCCACTAATACAAGTCTGCAAGTACATTGGCTGCTTTTATGCACCGTATGGGCTATTCAAATTATTGGCTAAAAATCTAGCTTCCTTAATGTACCATTGAAATTCCAATGGAGTGTCAGCCCCTCTCCTCATCTATAATCACAACTTGTGAGACACCTCCCACCTCCAGTTAAGGAGGATGTAAAGAAGTGACTAGTCCCAGTCCATTCGGTAAAGACAACCATTTCACTTAATAACATGCATATAGTAAGAAAGATAAGACAAACAAGTGGAGCATGCTCAATATTAAGACAACCAGTTACTTGAACTTCAAAAAATGAAAACGAGGAGATTTCATATTCATAAAACCAGATTCCAAAACATACAGGAAACATGGAAAAAGTCAATACCATACTATGGGCATCAGTTACACCACAAGCAACTTGAGGTTTCGCAATACATGGAAGACATAGTTTGGCTTCAGAAAGCTGTTCTGCTAAACTATGATCATTAAAATGATCAACCTGCAGATTAAAGCACGTATAAGTATAAGAAAAAGCAGATAACTCATTCATCAATGCACCTACACATACAGAGCCACATATATTAATAGAAAGTAGGAAACAAGCATTAAATATTGTTTAACAAGTTGCAATAAAATACATTAAGAAATAAAAATCTCATCAATTACTCTACATAGGACTAAATTCTTAATTTAACTAAAAAAGGATAATTGAGGGAGAAATACTAAGGGTCTTTTTTCCTCAAACAGAATGGTTTTATCCTTTTTTATCAGTATACTTTCATTTTTTTTATTGGAAACGGTTATCAGTATACTTTCATCCTTTTTATCATTTTAAATAACTATGCCTTCCCGCAACCAAGTTAAGGAATTATTTTTCCTTTACATGCATAGATATGTATGGGTATTAATACCTGTATAAGCAACTGAAAATTTACAAAGGGTCCAATGTAGAAGTGGTTATATATTAAGCAATGCATAGGTGAAGATACTGCCTTCATCTAATATGGTGCCATTTAATGCAATGAAATTGTTCCTCATTTCTTTATTTGTTGATTTCCACCAGAAAGGAAAGGAATGATGTTGTCATCCTTTAGATAAAATATGAGAAGCTCTTTTGGTTATAACTTATAAGTTAAAATATGAAGTAGCCCCCCACCCCCTGGGTATAAAACAAAATACATACAGCTTCTGACTTCAAGCAAGTTGGTTTAAGAGGGGGAATCTCTGGTTGACATAGGCTGTTGTCTTCTAGTGTGGAGGGTGCATGGCATTTGAGAAACTTTTATTAGGGATTAGGGAAGTAAGTTTTTTCTACTACTTGTCAGCAGAAAGACAGACCAAGGAGGAATCCAAGAGGAGTTTGCTGGTTCTGATATTCCTAGGATAGAATATTGATCTAATTATTTTCCATTGAACTTTGGTGTCATTTTGCCACTTTGGGATTATGAATGTCTGTACATCTCCTCATCCCCTTATCACCTACGTCTTCATTTATTGAGGAAGAAGAAAATATGCATGTCCTCTTCTTCAAGAAACCAGTAGTTGTTACAGATAGTGATGGAGGCCCAAACCTAGCCTAACAGGACTGGCCCAGTCTTTTAGGACCTAGACCTTCCCTTTTGGAGCAAATACCCCTCATTGAAACCAGTGGGCCTCTTAGTTTATCCCATGTTTAAACTCGACCTTGGAACCAGTAGAAAAAACACTACAAGAGAAAAGCATTGTTTTTGAATGGTTTATTATTTGTTTTCTTACCATAAATTTTGTTGAATAAGGTACTGTATTTCATTACTATGAAAAAAGTATGAAGTCCATGTACAATAAGAAACTGTACAATGGCAATGTACAGAATCATGACAGATTTATACTTCTGTTCACAAAAAGAGATTCATGAAAGAAGAAGAAGAAGAAGAAGAAAATGGTTTACAAACTCCCATCAAAGAAAAATATGCCTTTCAACTGGTATTTAGTACCTCCTCTTCTGAATTATATTTGAAGTAAAAAATGCGGCTTCCTTTTTTTTTGATAATTAACAGAAACTTTTATTAATAGATATTAAGAGAAAAAGATACAAGAGGAGGGGTAAAATCTCTTAACCCTCCCTAAAGGTACATTTCAGTTTACAATATTGCCCAGAAAAAAACTCTTCCCACCCCTTGTTTGGCCAATGAATCTGCCAAGGAATTGGCACTCCTCTTAGTCCATTGAAACTTGATTTCCATGTTTTGAGTGAACTGTCTAACTTTCTTTCTCTCATTCAGATATTTCCACAAACTGAAATCGTCCTTCTGCAGCCAATTGATAGCCAGCTTAGAATCACCTTCCACCATCAGTTTTCTGATATTCAACTCTTGGGCTCTTTTTACCCCTTCCAGAACAGCCAATATTTCAACTCTTAGAGAATCCCCCCATCCAATAGAACCAGAATACATGGCAATAATCCGACCTTCTTCATCCCTGATAACTCCTCCTATACCTGATGGGCCTGGATTTCCTTCGCTGCTACCATTGAAGTTCAGTTTAGTGAACCCCAAAGCTGAAGGAGACCAAACTGGGTTAGATGAAGTCTTCATTGGAGCTGACCATACCACTTCTTTCCGCTTCCTGATGGTGTCTCCTGAATAATTTTCAAAGAGCTTCATAGTCTTAGCCCAATGAGCCAACCTTGTAGAAATCAGTTCAATGATGGCACCCTTACTTCTTTCTTTCCCATGGAAGTTCCTTTGATTCCTTTTCTCCCAAACTGTCCAACAGATAGCTGCTCTTATGCATCTCCACAAGATTTCCCCTCTCTTCTTCAACCCCCTAACTGAAGCAGAATGGAACAAGCTTTGTACATTTGAGGGAGGGGTCCACCTACAACCAAAAAAAGAGGAAAACCAACACCAGATCTCTGAAATAAATGGGCAAGATATTAGTAAGTGATGACAAGTCTCTCCATTCTCCTTACAAAGGATGCACCAGTGCGGGGATAAACACCAATTAGGCCTTTTCCTTTGAAGTTGATCGCAAGTGTTACACTTTTCTAAGAAGACTTCCCAACAAAAAGCACTAATTCTAGGAGGGATTGGTCTACTCCAAACTTCCAAAACTGAGATGGTGAGTCCAAAAACAGGTGGGGAATGAGCCAATTCTTTGAAAAAGGAAAAGCACGAGAAGACACCCGAAGGAGAAGGGACCCCGATCCTAATATCCCTCCTAGAGGGATCAATACCCACCTCATCTAGAATTTTGAGCAGGTCAGAAATAAGGTTCAATTCGAAGTCTCTAAGGGCCCTTCTAAAACCCAAGTTCCAATCAACAGTTGAATTAGAAGTGGTCAGAAAAGTGGAGATTGGCTCATTTTTAAATTGTGAAAGGGAATACAAGGAGGGGAATATCTCTTTCAAAGGTGTGTTTCCCACCCAAACATGTTCCCAAAATTTCACAAAGCTACCATATCAAAGGTCATACCTGGTTAAAGGAAGGAAAGAAGGAAGTATGGCATGAATGGATTTCCAAGGAGAAGCTCTTGTAGCCCTAGATGATACTCCTATGTCCCAGCCATCCGCCGCTTGCCCATGAATACTTAAGACTACTTGAGCCCACAATTTATCCCTCTCCAAAGTCAATCTCCAAAGCCATTTCCCCAATAGAGATTCATTCTTTTTTTGCAAATTACCTAATGCAATCCCACCATCACTTTTGGTTTTGGTAACTATACCCCACCTGACTCTATGATCTCTTTTCTCCTCTCCCAGTTCCCATAAGAAATCTCTCATTAACTTTTCCAAAATCCCACATACTCCCTCAAGAATTTTAAACACAGACAGAAAGTAAACAAGCAGGTTAGCCAATGTTGACTTAATCAAAGTTATCCTGCCACCCAAAGAGAGGTAATTTTGCTAAGGCCTTCCAAATGCTGGTAGATGAAGAGAGAAGCCACTCTCTCAGGAAAGCAACCAAGAACTCCAAAATATTTCATAACAGCAATCCAAAGCTTAGCTGTGAGCTTATAGTGAATGAAGAGGTGGAAAGGCGCCCTTGGAGGCTCGCCTCGCCCAGTCGCCTAGCAGTTTTGTATATTGTCTTATAAAATACTTTTATATTGTTATTTTTTTGAGATTATAATTATAAAATAGACATTACTAAACAAAAATATTCATTTTTTGTGTTTATAAACTAATTTCTTTTTATTATTTTCTTATTTGTTAGGGTTTAATCAACACAAACATTGCTAACTGCTGTATTRAACCCTCAAAGACTTCAGAATTTGAACCAATAAGTAAGGGAAAAACTTTAAGTTTTGTCTAATCAACACATTTCTTCCTCCACATCTTCCACCTTTTCTTTTCTTCTTTTCCTATAACAAAAACAGGGGTTCAGTCCCCGTATTTATTGAATTTTCTTTTCTTTCTTATTTTTCTTCTCATAAAGATGTTGATTTTCTAGACATAAACATGAAGTTTATAATTTTCTTATGAAAATTATGGATAGTTATTAAGGAAAGATGGTTATGGAACCCAGGGAACTACCTAAGATATGTATTTTTCACTTAAAAAAATCCATCACCTAGGCGCCCGCCTAGGTGACTAGGTGACAAGGCGCCCCCCTGTTGCCTAGCCTCGCCATGGTGACTTCAAAACTATGGCTATAACCTGTCACCACAAACTGGTAGTGTTGGACTCTGGCCAACTCAGGCACCACTTTGAGGGGATGCTACCTCCAGAACAGGGAGAGAGAGAGAGAGAGAGAGAGAGAGTTCAGGTTTCCTTTTTTTCCTCTTTATTGTTTTACATCTTGCTTTTTTTAGGCTCAGGCTCAATACACATCAAGAACTAGTAGTTACATTCTAACAATTTCTTGATCAATACAGTAAATAGAGAGCACTTAGAAGTGATGCAATAGCAGACTAGGCATGGTGAGCAACAACACATTGCCAATTTATGTACTTGTTTGAGCAATCAGGGCCTTTTTTTTTAAGCAAAGGTAACTTTTATTGAAGATAGAAGAAACAGAAGTACATGAGAGGATGTACTGAAGACAAGAGTGGCTTGGAAGAATTACAAAGGCAAACAATTGTCACTAAACAAGAAATCTCTAGAGAGCCCTGATTTTGCTAGGCTATGTGGTTTTGCTAGGCTACATCACATTGCTAGTCTATGTGATGTAGGAAGTTAGATCTTCAGCATTTTTAGCTTTATTTTCAAAAATCCTATTGTTCCTTTCTTCCCAAATTCCCCATGAGTAATCAGGGCCTTTAGGACTTACCAATGTTAACATTGGAAGCCAAAAGAACTCAATAACTCCAATGTAAATACCAAAGGAGAGGAAATTGAGGCAGACAAACTATAGAGGCCTACCACCAGGAAATAGTGTCTATCGCCACAATAAACCCATTATGGTCCCGAAACTAATTAAAATTTTCAAATACAACTCCTTGATTTCTACATCAACAGCCAGCTTTCTCCCTCTTTTTCTGAATGTTGATCTCTTGTTTGGACACATCCAACAACTTCCCCAGGATATGATTTTATGCTGCATAAGCTGTCATAACCCTGGTTTATAAATTTGTCAGTACACTTAATAAAGTGCTTAGTTAATTGATGACTACTTACACGAAACAAAATACACATGAATTATGTGAATCATCAAGTATTATTATACAATACAGCCAAGTTCATCATCAGGATGATTTGTTTCATCTTTGAAATGCAATGTAAGTATCAAATAGATACCATTTCGTACTAAAAACCTTTAGAAAATGTGGGCCCCTTATTTTACAGCGACCTTCTGTGTTGAGATCCTCCAACCCAAGTAGAATCTTCTGGATCTTTAGCCGATCCAATACAGGGTATATGTTATTAAGTGGGTCAATTACACAACAGTCTGGGTGATCTTGGAAATACCTGTATAGAAACAAAATGCAATTAGAAAGGATCTGGTAGCACCTTATTTAAGCTAAATTATACATAGCAAGTTTCATAAGATAAGTTCACTATACATCAATCAAGGTCATGGAAATGGTAAGAACCAAACCTGATAAAAAAAAAGTAAAATAAAATAAGAGATGTCTTCGTTTAAACTAAGTACTCCTGTTGAGTGACTTCAAAGAAGAACAATGGCATCAATATAAAAATTAACAAAACAAGAATCATCCTCTAAAAGCTTTTCCCAAGAGCAAAATGTTCTTGTTGGAGCTGGTGTTGTTGTTACAATGATATGGAAAATCAAGTCGTTTTGAACTATAAAAGAAGTCAAAAGATGGCACCAATTGATCATGAAATAACACAAAAGGGAATACCAATTGCATTAGTTTCTTCTTCAAGGTGGTGATGATCAAGTGAAGGAATCCATTCCTAGGATACAGGAAAAGATGAACAAAGTGTTGGCAGGGAGCACAGTGAATGGAAAATAAAGATACCCCCAGACAAGTTACATTCTGATAAGAAAGCTGATGGCTCTAAGGGAGGATTTAAAAGTATGGAATAGGGAAGTTTTTGGGAACATTTCAAACAAAAAAAACTGAACTTCTTAGAAAAATGGCAAATTTTGAGAGACTAGAGGGCAGGGATGTCCTCTCTAGGGAGGGTAAAAGGGAAAAGGAAAGTGTGGAAAGGGAACTTTTGGAGGTGATTCATATGGAAGAAGTTATGTGGAGGCAGAAATCAAGAGCAATTTGGCTAAAGGAGGGAGATAAGAATACAACATTCTTTCATGCCCTAGCAAGGGGCAAGAGGAGATAAAATTTCACCTCTAGATTGGAGGACAAAAACAAAGACATTGATGATCCAAGAGAAGTGATGGAGGAAATGGAGGAGGAACTTCTACCTCAATTTGTAAAAAGTATTGAGGATGGGAATTTGATGAGAGGGAAGTATGGAAAAGGAGTTTGATGAGAAGGAAGTATGGGAAGCAGTAAGTATCATGAAGGGTGACAAGGCCCCAGGCCCTGATGGTTTCAATCTCTTTTTACAAGAACTGTTGGCATGTGCTAAAAGAGTATGCATTGAGGATGATGAATGAATTTTGGTAGTAAAAATTGGTTGAGAGGAGTGCAAATGCAACTTTCGTATCTCTAATTCCAACAATGGAAGGGATGCCTAGAGTCAAGGACTTTAGACCAATCAGTTTCATCTCGAGTCCCTACAAAATCATTGCTAAGGTGTTAAGATAACACCTAACTTCATGCAAAGGAGAAACAAAACACCCAAATGCACAACAAAACTGCCCAGGATACAACTATAAAACCCCAGACTTCCCCAAAGAAATCCAAAGGAACAAAACAAAACTTTAATATATCCTTGAAGACAAAAAAAGGTGAAACCCACACAACCATATCACAAAACTTCAACTAAAGCTCTTAACCTTCTCCACTCATCTGCAGATACTACAACAGCCTCCATCATTCTTCATCCACAAGTTCTGCTTCCCTCCCTTCACCTTCCTTCCAAACCTCACCCTCCTTCCCCAACTACTTTCAATTTGTTATATTCTTCCTTTAACCTGAACCTCCATGACTACAAATTTTTTCAGGTCTCCCTTTCTTTCACTTTTTCCCACTCTATCAGCAGTCACTTGCTCAATGTCCTCCTTTCCAGCTTCGTTCTCTTCAGCAAACTATATTCCATTCCTTTCCCCCTTCTCCCCTGGTAAGACTTCAACTTTTTGATTAAATGAAACTAAACCTGATGTCTTTTTGACCGAGCCTAACTCCAAAGAAATTGCTTCGCCTCTATCTTTCAAAGAAATCTGACCTCTAGCCTTGAACTTCGATCCCTTCCCCTTGTAAATTCTCTTGAACCTGCAACAAGTACTGTCCCTAACGAGCCCGCCCTTAAGACAATGAAAAACTTTGGTCACATGAACAAGCTGCCCATTTCCCGACCCTTTTGATTTTCCCAACTCCCTGCATTGAAAGTGTTAGTAATAGGATTCTCCAAAACTCCTTCACTTCTTCTCCTACCTACATCCGCCCCCAATTTTCCTATTAAGACTAAGTACCTCAAATCTTCCTCGTTGCACACCTTTCAAGTTCAATGAAACTCGCCTCTCCCCCCATCTCCAAATCCAACTCCCTACTGCCAATATCAATGGAAAGCACCTTACTTTTCAAAGCAATGTCTGGAGCACATTCACCACCTTCCTTAACCTCATCTGAAACAGAGGAAAAACCTGTCGCAAAAACCAAAGCATTGTCCCTAACTGTAGCCCTGCCTTGAGGGACACCACCGTCGGTAGCCAGTAAATAGAGCTTGAGAGTTAAGCAGGACCTTATCTAAGCCTACTTCGTCCTTAAAACATTTCAGACATTTTGACGAACACAAGTCTTCAGTGCAAACGAACTTTGTAGTCACCCACTCCCAATTCTCAATCTTCCTCTTTCCTAATCCATTGAGAGATCTTGAAAAGCAATTTTTGAACCTTCTTTGCCTTCAACCGCTTAGTCTCACCAACCTTTGCCAATCTAGCTCCTCTAGATGACCAAACCCAAGCTTATTTTTCTTCTTTGTCTCACACAACTCAAGAGGGAAACACAATCTAAGCCCAAAGGGAAGAAAATGGACAAGTTACTGTCTGTGATCACCCTTTGAAATCATGTGGCCAAAAGAACAGTCATGCAATTTAACCAACATGGGCACAACACCAATTGGGCCATCTGGCCTACTTGGCCCAAACTGATGATCCAAGTGGCATTGCCCACATGGCCCATCTGTACGTCAATTTGCACTGCCTAAAATAGCCTTTTTGATTGCCCCCTGTCCCTTCATCTTCCATAAAACTCTTTTGAACCGACCCAGCCTCATTCATTGTCTTCTCACATTCTGTCATTTCCTCTTCCCATCTCCCTACCTCCTCCCACTCCCTCTCCTCCTCTTCCACATGGCCTCCAGCCCAACACATCGACATCATCTATGAATTCCCGGTTGCACCTACACAGCATTGCTTCAGCTTCCAATGCAATCCAAACCCTGTACCAAAGACCATCCAACTGCAGCTTCACAGATTGGGGAATGGCTTCTAGATTCACTCCAGTGATACCAAATTTTGCAGCATGAAGATCATGGATGTCGATATCAACTAGCACCCCTCCAATGGCCTTTGCAATGTTCTCAAACACATGACCCTCCCAGAGATTGAAAGGAAGACCATGAGCTTTAAATTGATCGAATTGTGAGTAAATCTCTTACTGTTACAAACTGGAAACCATTGTTCCACTAATGCCAGACCAACGCAAGTCTCTACTTTCTGCAAATCGACCATATCTTCCTCAAGCTCAACCTCAAAAATCGCCTTTCTGCTATCAAAATGCCTGATGAAGACAGGAGCAGGGCGGTTAACCTTAATCCTAATCACTTCCAAACAGCCTAACAATCAAGTTCCTACATCAGTTAATTATGAGAATGGGAGCTTTGCATTCATCTATTTAACAATAGACAACCATACTTGTATGTGAGTTGACTCGTGGACTTATGTCAGCTTGCTAATCATTATCAAACATGGTGTGTCCATGCAACACTTAGGGCCCATTTGGTTCACAGGAATAGGGGTCTGGAATCGGAATCAGAGTGGACCATTCCAACTCCAACTGTTTGATTGGGTGGAATTGGAATCTCATTCTCATTCCAGCTGATTCCAATTTCCATTCCCATTCCTGTCTGAACCAAACAGACTATGGGAATAGACCATTCCAGTTCCAATTCCAAGGGATTTTGATTCCGATTCCGATTCCATCTGTGAACCAAACGGACCCTTATTTGTCTATAGATTCATGTCTTATTATATATAATATATGTTTTATGAGCCATTGTAAACCACCCATTGTCTTCAGTTTTTAGTTCACATATTGAGTTTCTGCTCCATCAATTCACAACTCGACGGCATTTAACATGGTTTCATTCTCATATCAAATATGATACAAGCAAGAAAAGAAAACAGAATGCATGGAACCGCAATATGATGAACTCATTACATTTCTTCCAGCTATGACAACTAATCAATTTCAGGAACTTAACCTTTCTAGCTCTTGCATGCCCTTAGAGTAACAAACTTTGTAAGAAAATTCTGAAGAACTTCCCAACTCAATGGTGACTATTTCATCAGTTGCTTTATGAAGAACCACGTCAACCTCTTGTAGTTGAGATGCTAAAGGAAGATCAAATGTCAGAGGAACAAATCTCAAGCCATTTTGAGTATGACACATTGGGAAGGCTCCTCGCTGTTAGAGAAATGTGTCAGTTTCAACTATATCATTGGTAATATAGCCAACAATTAAGCAGATCGGATGATTAAAATAATCAGATCATCAACCAAAGGAAAGTACATGCAAATATATGCACACACATATGTAAGAAATATAAATTTACTGATCCAAAATGGAATATTTATACACAATTATTCGTGCATATGTACAAATACGAAGGCAGACAATTTGTTAGCTGAGTCAATGAAGAAGTCTAAACAACCCAGAAATCAGAATCTTCAATGTAGCAAGATGGTTTAGGCCCAAAAGAGCCCAAATGTTCCTATAGCCTCCAACTATTCACAGGGCTGCTTAAACCCCCTTGTGACATGCCAAAATTAATCCCCTTTTTGGGAGTACTTTTTTTTATTTTTACTTTCATTTTTTTATTGCTTTGTATATTTTAAATTAAAACATGGTAATTTGTCATGGCTTGTATTACTCGAGGTAAGTTCCACCATTCCAATAAAAGGTGCCCATAGAACTTATCCAGATTAGGAGAGTGGACATTTGGCCAATCTACAGGGTTCAATATCCAGAATGGCTTGGATTGGACACAAGACCCCTCCACATGGAAAAATAGGTAGTTATCTAGCAATCATCCATTGATTAAGAAACCTTCTCAATATTGGTCATGAGCATGATTATGCATCAATATAGCAAATTCAACCTTTAACACTCAGAAGTTGTGATTATCACAAGTGTGACCATCGCAAACAGAAAATCCACTCCCTGTACATCTGTCATGTATACAGTGGCATTACCAGAGAACACTCCCCATCTAAATCTACTTAAACAAGAGATAATTATTTGCAGAGTTTAATTGCTTCTATCAAAGGACATACCTTGGCAAAATCTTCTTCACGAGAAGGTTTCATAACATAACCAATTGTCAAAGCACCATCACCGATAGCCTGAATTCAGTGGAACAAGAATAAGGAAATTCCATTAATACAGGTACCATAAAATTACATTTTGTCATATACATCTGAGGAACTAGTATAATTTAAGTATTAACCTGGAAGTCTGGAACTACTAACCATATACCAAGGAGCAGATTCAACTGCAGGTGTCCAATGCAGTCACTCCAAGATGGCAACTTAAAAATAATATGGTATATTATATTCGACGTAGAGTTGCCAGCAGTTTGAGTCTACAGCTTACACTGGAGCAGATTCCCCAAGACCCCCGCACCCTGGGTGAAGGCAGGATATGATCCCAAGTCCCCACTACAGCCAACCAGGGACCTTACCAGCAAGCTAGCTGGAACCTTTGTCAGGGTAGACCTTTCTCTAAATTGAGTCAAATGACTAAAGAACATAGATACCAAGTCCCTGTTAAGGCCCCATAAGGTCTATAAGTAATCAACCCAGAATTGACATCATTATTAATTGGGCTTATTGGTCTGACCCAATTGTAGCCAACAGACCTTAGCTTGGTAACCTTCTCCAAAATATCTTATTAGGTCCCCTAGAAAATGGCAATTTCAGACATCTACAAGATATTATTAGAAGTAAATCATGAAAAACATATGTAAAAATGTTGGGGAAAAGCTCTTTAATGATGTTGAAGGTGAAAAAGAATTTAGTGCTAGGTGGCAGAAGAAAAGGAAGTCTGAAATTTGGGTTCATAACAAGTAACATGAAGATAATTAGTTGGAATGTGAGAGGCCTTGGAGGTCCTACTGGAGAAGGACAATAAAAGAGGTGCTTAAAAGGGAAAACCCAAATTTTTTGTTGATTCAGGAGTCTAAGGTGCAGGAGATTAATAGAAGATGGGTTAGGAGCTTCAGGGGGAATAATAACATTATGACAAGAGGATACAGTAGAATGTCTCGAAGAGTTGGTGGGCTGTTTTACAGTTTCAATAAAACTGAAGAATGCTAATGATGGATTTGTTTGGCTATTGACTAACGTGGGTGGTCATCCAGATTTTGTAAAAAGGTGAAGTTGTGGTGTGAGCAATAAACATGTTTTAAATGGGAGAGTATGTGATTCTTTAGGAAATTGCTAGATTTGAAGGCAAAATCAAAGAATGGAATAAAATACACTTTGGGAAATAGGAGGAAAGAAAAGAACATTTTATCAATCAAACTGAGGAAATTGATAGGAGGGGAGGATTGGGCCCCTTGAATGAGTATGACAAGAGGAAGAGACTAACTTTAAAGAAAGACTTGGAGGATACTTTGTTGAGAAGAGAAATAAGTTGGAGGCAGAAGTCTAGAGTTAGATGGATTAAAGAGGGGGATAAAATACGAGGTTTTTTCTTTTTTTGATTTCTTAAAATACAAGATTTTTTCATGCTATTGCCAATGGTAGAAGGAGAGAATTTTATTCCAATGTTGGAAAAGGATGAAAGTGTAATTACATATAAAACATATTCACGCATGTAAACTCTTAATCTCTTTATTTTTTTCCCAATTGCATTACTTCAAATAGCTAATGTGATACTAAACATTATGCATTCCTGATTCTACAAGCCACCTTTCTACCAAGCCCCTCGAGGCAAGGGGCACCAGGTGCACGCATTTTAAGTGTGTTGTGCCTGGGACCTAGGTGAGGCGCATACCCTAAAATGCACAGATGCACAAACTTTCAAAAGGCCTCCATCTGGACTGAAGTGCAAGGTGCACCAGGCATGCACCTTTTGAAAGTGTTGTGCCTAGGACCTAAGTAAGGTGCACACCCTAAAATGCGCCACACCTATGTGCCTAGGCGCACCTTTTGAATCACTGCATGGATGTCCCTTTGACTTTTTTGGCTTCTTTGACTTTTAAAACGCCTAACTACAGAAAGACTAGATTCAACTGCCTTCCTATCAGAAACCACCTTACTTGCATTATCCCTTGCGCTATCCTCAAAAAAATTCTAAGAAATAAGAGTATCATCCAGTCTTTATTGCCTTTCCTCCACCTCTTTAAACACTTTCCTTGTGAAATCTTCCCCACCCACAGAAAAGACCCAGAATTTTACTAACCTAAACTTCTGTCTCCACCACTCTATCAACTAATCCCTTCACAACATGAGTTGTCGTCCAACACCACGTCTTCATCTCGCACATCTTCATTCTCTTTCTCTTCTTCGAATCTTCTTTATCATCTAAATGTTTGGTCCTATATTTTTCCAGTAATAAACCTTTTGAACCTAATAGTTCCAAATTCTCTCTTCCCACCTCTGTATCTGACAGCTTCGACACTCCAGACACCTCCGCCTCAACCACTGAAATCACAATCACCTCATTTGGGGATACCTCACCCTGGAATCCAGAAACCTTTCTTCCCAATCTACTCCTAGCTGCACAACCACCACCTCGAAGCAACTTACAGTGTCAATCAATTCCAGACCCTCTACCTAATTGTCACAGATGTTCTCTGAAGAAAACTGAAGAGAGGAGAGCTTGAGAGTTCAGCAATGAGGGTCTGAGAATGAGAGTTTCGAACCTTCTCTCTCTCAGCACCCTAACATTC